CTCATGTTTAAAATGTATAATTTGATACGTGTTGACACGTTAAATGCATGAAAACATGATCACAATCAAGATAGTGAACATGCCCATCACTCCCCAAAGGCTCCTTGTGCCCTTTGATCATCCCTCTTCCTCCTCCTTCCTTCTTCCCATCGCCAGACAACCATTGATCTGCTTTCTGTTACTTTTGTTTACATTTTCTAGCATTTTATATTAGTAGAATCATGAAGTATGTGCTCGTTTTTTGCACAGCTTTGTTCATTCAGCATAATTATGTAGAAGTTCATCCACATTGTTGCATTGATCAATAGTTCATGCCTTTTCATTTCTGAGTAGTATTCTGTGGTATGGAAATACTTCAATTTGTTCATTCACTCATCTGTGGATGGACATTTGGGTTGTTTCTACTCTTTGGATATTACAAATAAAACTGCTACAAACACAAATGTATAGAATTGGTATTGTTTCTGTCTTATGTGCTTGGGAGAATTCACTGATCAAGTAATCATGGCCCAGAGTTCTCTTTGTGAGAGAGTTTTTAACCACCAAATTAACTTTCTTTAATATCTGAGGCAACTATTGAGAGTAAGCTTTGGTAGTTTGTGTCTTTCAAGTAAGACATTTCAGCCAATGTCATTTGTCTATTTCATCAATTAGGTCAAGTTGATTGACAGTGATGTTCAAGTGTACACATCCTTGTTGATTTTCTGTCTACTTGTCCTGCCATTATTGATAGACTAAAATTTAAATCTCTGATAATTGTGGATTGCCTGTTTACCCTTTTAATTTTATCATTTTTTGCTTCATGTATGTTAAAATTTTTTATTAGCATAAATCAAAATATTTAGGATTGCTATATCCTTTTGATCACTGTCATTATGAAATGATCTTTTATTTTTTTTACCACTAGTGATATTATTTGCTCTGAAGTTTACTTTTTATGATATTAATATAGCCACTCCTAGTATCTTTTGATTAGTGTTAGCATGACAAGTCTTTTCCCATCCTTTTACTGTTAAGTTATTATATCTTTATATATAAGATACACTTTTCATAAGTGGTATATAGTTGGGTCTTACTTCAAAAAATTAATCTAATGTTTTCTCTTTATTTGGGGTGTGTGGAACATTTATGTTTATTGTGATTATTGATATGGTTGGTGTGAGTCTATCATCTTGCTGTTTGTTTTCTGTTTACCTAATAGGTTCTCTTTTCCTGTTTTTCTGCCTTCTTTTGAATTCATCTTTTTTGTGTGGTTCCAGTTTTTCTCTTTGGTTGGCTTATTAACTGTAGCTCTTTGTTTTGTTGCTTTAGGGTTTATAGCATATATCTTCAAAGTATCACAGCTTACCATCAAGTAGTATTTCCACTTCACATATTGTATAGGAACCTTCAAATAGTGTACTTCTATTTTCCCTCTTGACTTTTTGGCTGCTGCTGTTATGCATTTTCCTATTACACATGTTATTAACCCTACACTACGTTGTTACACAGATACTTTTTAAGGCTGTGAAAATACTTTGTATGATATCATAATGATGGATAGATGTTATTATACATTTTCCCAAAATCACAGCATATACAACACCAAGAGTGAACCATAATGTAGACTGGGCTTTGGATGGTTAGGGAGTGTCAATGTAGATTCATTAGTTGTAACAAATGTACTACTCTGGTGGAGGATATTGATAATGGGGGAGGCCAAATATGTGTGGGTCCAGGGGATACATGAAGAAGCTCTGTACCTCCCTTCAAGTTTTCTGTAAACCTAAAACTAGTCTTTGGTTTTAAAAAAGTTGATTTTGTGTCTTTTAAACACCTTTATCTGTTTACTTAAATTTTGAATATATGGAATATAGTTATAATAATTCCTTTAATGTCCTTCTCTGATAATTCTAATATCTGTATCATTTTAGGTTGGTTTGATTGATTGAATTTTCTCTGAATCATGGGTCCCATTTTCCTGCCTCTTTGTATGACTGGTGATCTTTGATTAGATGCCAAATTTGTGAATTTTACCTTATTGGGTTCTGGATATTTTTATATTCTAATAATTCTTCTTGAGTTTTACTCTGAGTTATGGTTAAGTTAATGGTAAAGAACTTGATCATTTTGGATATTGTTTTATGATTTGTTAGGTGGGTAGGAGCCGGGATCAGTCTAAAGCTAATTATTCCCCAAACTAAGGCCAGACTTTGCTGAGGACTTTGCCTCCTAGCCCATGGATTACGAGTTTTTCCAGCCTTGCTGGTGAGGACAGGCACAGTTCCCAGGCAGTTTCTCTAATCCTTTTTAATGATTCTTTCCTCAGTCTTAGATTCCTAACACGTGTGTCCTGGTGAGTATGCTGCAGAATAACAGAGGGGGCCCTCTGCAGCTATCTGGAGTTCCATTCTGGGAAGTTCTCCCTCAACTTTACTTTGCTCTGATGACTGTAACTGCCTTGTCTTCCTCAGACTCTCAGTTTCGTCCCTTTAACTAAGGGAGACCACTGGGCAGTGCCTAGGTTTGCCCTCTCTGTTCCTCATCTTGGAAGTGTTCTCCAGGAAGTAAGATTGGACAGTTGTAGGTTTTTATTTGTTTGCTGTGTCTTTGGAATCACTGACATTTGTCTAATGTCAAGTACTTGTGTGCCTTCTTAAAAATATATACATTTATTTTTTGTCAAAATTTTTAGTTGTTTTACGTGAAAGGGTAAATCATGTCCCTATTACTCTGTGTTGACTTTGGAGTGCAAATTTCCTTTCATCTTAATATGGAAATTTTTATTAAATTTCTAAGATTTTTAATGCCCCTATTCCCATCCATTTCACCCAAGCCGTGTACACTTGTCTGTGTATTTTCTTATATCCTCTCAATGACCACTATTAGAGAGCATTAGCCATTGATGTGAGAGTTGCTTGAACTTACCACTCTCTTTCCGCCAAGCCTTTACATGTGCTGTTCCCCGTGCCTAAAATAACATTGCATATATTTGTTTAGTTAACACGTTATTCTTCAGATATTAGTTCAAATACTACTTTCTCAACAAATGCTTTCTTCTACCACTAGACCTAGACCTTGATCCCCTTACTGTGTACTCTTTGAGCTCCTTTCTTTTTATACAACTTGTTATTTCTTACTTAGAGCTGGTCTTTCCCACTAGACCAAGAACGCTAACTAGGAGAGGGGTACTGACTCTTTTTAATAATAATGTATATCTGGTGCCTAGAACCGCTTATAGTGGGTGCCCAATGAAAATCCACCACACAGATTTAAATTTCCTTTAGATTTGTCAAGCGAGTTAGCTCTGAGGGAAACCTCTCTCAGCACTTAAAGTAGTTAAAAAGATGTGAAGACACTGAAAGTTTTAATGAAATGCGCATGAGCTTTGACACTAGACAAATCTGGGTTTAAATTTTAGTGTCACTACTACTTACTAGATGAGTGACGTGGAGTAGGTTATTTGCCTCAGGCGTTTGTTTTTGCACTGAGTGAAGAACGTCTTCTTAGAGTTGTTAAGACAACGAAATGAGACGACCTATCTGAAATTCTCTAGCACAATGCTTGTAACATAATAGATGCTCCAGGGAAGTTAACTTCTCTCTTCATTCTTTGGCCACTCCACTCCCCCTTCTGCTGCTTTGTTGCAGTTATCTTTCCCCCTTAGAAGACTCCTGAGTGCATCATTGTTACTATCTATAGGAACAGATGATGTAGCAAAAGTGTTGCCTTCTCTAGGTCACAAGCATGAATTTAGATAAACGTAGTAGGAACACAGAATCACAAAGAATCAGAATTGGAGGAGACTTGGGAACTCTAAATCCTCCTAGGTGAAGGCATTGAGGTCCAGAGAGGAAAAGTGATTTGACCAGAGTCCTAAAGAAAACTGGTGAGGCGCTTTTGGGAAGAACATAGTTAAGTAGCTCAGTGTAACTGAATTGATGGGTTTGTTGGTTCTCGGATTAATTGCTATCAGTTGGTATTTTTAAATACAGTCTTATGGGGAGTCCTGTTAGCTGGTATTCATGGAGTCAAAATTGGCCAACAAAAATGCCGGTATTGGGACCAACTCTAGCCTTTTCCACGTTCCCCAAAACCATGACTCCTTGTGTAAAAAAGTTCAGGCCAGCTTTGATTTCAGATAGAATTCTTGCTATGTGGTTACTGTTTTGAGCAGCCCATCTGTTTAACCCTTCCCATTAACTGTGCCTAATTCTGTGGTGTAAAACTGGTATTGCCAGCAAGTGGGTAGCAGATCTACAAAAGTTGTGTCCATATGTTGTTCTGCGGGGTGGGCGGGTGGTGGTTGGGAAAGGAATGATGAACTCTAGTGTCAGACAGCCCTGAGAGAAGTCAGGCCACTGGTATCTTATGGCTGTGTTGTTCCTTTGAGTTGATCTCTGGGATCAGTGCCAGAAAAATACATGAGAACCAGAGACCAAATTAAGTGTTGCCCGATCACTATGTCAGAGACAAAAGCAGGAAGATAGAAATTGCAAAGCCAAATAGGTACAGGACAAAGGGGGAGTAATGGCAGCTGTAACCATAGTTTGGGACTAAGAATTGGAGCAGATGAGGCTGGACTTGCTCACCATCTGTTCAGAGGCAAGGGGAGCTTCGGAAAGTACCCGGGGCTTGGGGATCTGGTGATGGGCTGTCACATCCTTGCTCAGCTTCTCATTCATGGGGTGACCTGGGAAAGGTAACCTGTTCTTTCTGAATTTCAGTTTCCTCATCTATTAAATGGAGATAATGGTGCCCCCCATTTCCCCAAGATCAGCATATATTCGTTCTCTAACAGCTTCACCTGCTCTACGATCTGCCTCCCACCCCAACACCCAACTTCCCGCTTTAATGTCTTTCTAGAGTCTCCTGTCCTTGCTAGAAGCTTGTCCACAATGGGAATTGTTATTGCACTGAAACAGAAAAGTACAACGCAATAGCAAGAATGCAGTATTCTAACTGAATCCGTCTACACTTCTAATCCTTCCTCTGCTTGTGGATGATCCTTAAAAAACTACTTTTCTTTGCTGTGCCTCAGTTTACCCAAACTCACAGGGTGGTCGTGAGGCAAGGCTCACAAATACTTAACACAATGTCCGACACGTAAGTAATTTTTAGCATGCATCATAACAAATTGCTAAATATGTATTCTTACTGTTGTTAATATCGTCAGAGTACATTTTGAACATTTAAAAACATGTAGAAATATGTATGAGCACTTGTCAAAGATCTGTTTAAATCACCAATGAGGGAAGCAGCAGGATTGTAAAAGAGACTTAGAAAAAAAGTGTGGTGGGGGGAGGGTATAGCTCAGTGGAAGAGTGTATGCTCAGCATGCATGAGGTCCTGGGTTCAGTCCCCAGTACCTCCATCAAAAATAAATAAATAAGCATAATTATCTCCTCCCTCCCCAAACATTTTTTTAAATAATAAAAAATTTTAAAAAAGAAAAGAAAGAAGTATGTATAGTTGGTGAAAGAAAGCATGATGAAATAAGGTTAAGTTACATGTGAAACTGTTAATGTCCTAGGAGGCCGGTACGATTGTAAACTCTGAGGTTATCTTTTTTACTGGGAATTTTATTATTTTTATTTCCACTGGACAAAGATACTTCCCAACTTACCAATCTTCTGTAAGTTAACACCTTACTTTACACGGAGACTGAGCCCAATTTGATAATGTTAAATCAAATTGAAAGACAGTCCTAGAGAATCCGGAGACCCAACAGCAGGCTTGTCAGAAAATGCTCTGACGTGATCGTGGAGGATCTGGCAGTGATCTCTTTGCTTTATTTCCAAATTTTAGGTAATTATTTTTGCTTTGGGTTTGGTCAATGAATCATCATCCTGTCTAAGACCTTGGCCTTCTGGGAACCTGGGCTTTGGTGCTCAAGCTAGAATTTCTCACCCTCTGAGTTTTTCTAACCAAATTGAGTCACCATAAATGACTTTGAAAGTGTTGAGGACGTTGAGAAAGAAGGAAGGGAAAAGAAATAGGAGACTGGAAGTGAAACGAGTTTAATTTTCATTTTCACATCGGGTGCAACCTCTTTTTTCTTGGGTCTTTAGAAATGGGGCATCCTTCACATTTGCAGCAGCTAACTGCATGGAAGCATAGAACAATTACGTTTGTATCTGACTAAAGTTTTCCTTAAACCTCAGCTGTTTTCCTTTCCTCCCTGTCCTCTTCAAACGAATTTCCCGTTTGTTTTTTCAAGTCCTTTCATTTCCCTTTATTCTTTATCTCTCTCGCTAATCTTTCCCTCCTCCTTTCCTACCCTTCCTGGGTCTTTATTAAATTCATTTTGAGCAGTTTTTCCTCCCTTTTTTTCCCCTGACTCTTTCCTCTTGGAGTGGCTGAAAGCCAAACAGATCTGCTTTCTTTTCTCTCTTTCTCTGCTTCCTTTCTTTCGTTTGCTTTTATAATCCCCCAGCTGTTTCTTTGGTTGTCATGACCCAAGCTCTTTGATCCCAATTCCTCCTTTGGACCATTTCACACATTCTTAGACTTAGTTAGATGGAGGACAAAGGAAGAAGAGAAACTCTCAAGACAAATCAACATATGTTTTGGAGAAGAATCTTTTAATTATTCTTTAATCCAGGATATTTTTGGATTGCATTAAGTAAATTTAAATAAAAATTACTTTTGAAAACTGTGAAGACAATAATGCTACCATAGATTTTAAAAGAAATAATCTGTCTGTAAGCCTACCTCATTTACATAAACATTTTCATTTCTGTATTTTCCTTCTGTCTTTGTCCTCTGATAAACACATATTTTGCATGATTGCATTAAAAAGTCTCTGTTTGAGCTTTGTGGCATAGATGAGTGGGCATATCTTGCAGGGGTAGTAAGGAGTAGACAAAAGTTGTCAATCTAAAGCCTGAGGGGTGTTGTGACCTTTTGGTGTGGGAAACAAAGCCGGACCTTCAGGAAGCTGTGTCCATCCCTATGCTGGGTGCCAGAGTGTTTGAATTACTTTGCTCTGAACACATGGTCAGGCAGACACAGTTCTGCCTTCCACAAGTTGACAGTCAGCAATGGACTTGTTTTCAAAGTCACTTGGAGCAGAAGGACAAGCTAGGTAGTAAAGGACATTCTAACAAATACACAAAGAGCCTCCATCATGTGAATGAAAAATGGCCTCTCTGATGTAGAAGTTAAGAGTCTGAGATCTGGAGCGAGGTCTGAGTTCAAGTCCTACTGCTTGCAGGTTGCATACCCTTGAGTAAGTTCGTAAGTTCTCCAGGCTTTAGTTTCTTCTTCTGTAAAGTGGCGATATTACCAGTGACATTAATTACTATTTTTGAGGATACCATACGAATCAGTATCAGGGAGATATTACATGTTTTACAGTAGTTCCCCCTTTATCCATGGTTTCAGTAACCCATGGTCAACTGTAGTTCCAAAGTATTAAATAGAAAACTCTAGAAATAAGCAATGTATACATTTTAGATTGCGTGATGTTCTGACTAGTGTGATGAAATCTTACACTTCTTGCTCCAGGAGGGACATGAATCATCCCTTTGTCTAGTGTATCCATGATATATTCTTTACCCACCTAGGTAGTTAGAGTAGGAAAAGAACATTCTCTGTATAGGGATTGGTACTGTTGCCAATTCCAAGGCATCCACTGGAGGTCTTGGAACATATCCCCCACAGATAAGAGGGGACTTACTGTATACACTTTGAAACAAGGTACAAGTTATTATAAATGCTGAGGAAATGTTATAAATCTCATACAATCATTTGTTTTTCTGTTAATCAAGGATGTTTGCAAGGAGGAAATGAAATGTCAAACAGTGTGAAAACCATGTGTTACTGACATAGGAATAGATCGGTAGATCAATGAGCTAGCATGACGTTCAGAAAGAAGCCTATATTTATAAAGAAGTTTAGTGTATGATAAAGATAACATTTCAGATCGGTGGGCATTTGGATGAAGACGTACCCTTGCATGAAGCACAAAATAGCTTAGTTCTTTCCATAAAGAAGTGCCCTGGATTCTGTTTGAAAAATTTAGTAAATTATTCAAGAGGGTGAACTAAATTTTTTTCCCAAATTTTCAATGAAATTAGAGAAAAGATATGTAAAAATCAGTAAATTCTTAATGAGGCTGTAAAAAGATTGTTATAGAGAATAGGAATTTTGAAGAATTTTTAGAGGCTAGGAAGAAAATGGGACCAGGTTAATGAAGACCATCAAGAATATGTAGATATTTTAGGAAAAGTAGCAGCAAAAAAAAAAAAAAAAAAAAAGAATCTAGAAATGGAGGTAAAAACCAGAACCATTGACTTAGGAAACAAAAAAGAACTTTGGAACATTCTACTCTATTACTGTTAATGACATTTAGGGGAATATTTCAGACTCAAAATAAGAGCAGGCTGCAATGAAGGAGAAAAAAATTTAAAATAGTTCTTATAAATAATAATCATGCTTACTAAGTTTTTCAACCAAATTATAGATCTAAAAGATGAAGATGATGAAATCTCTGAAAATGCAGAGAAAAGAGAAAAAAGAAAAAAATGAAATTATGAAAGAAAAATGAGAAAGCAAGGGTGTAGGGGCTCATTATCTGTTTATAGTTTTTAAAACAGTTTGATGCTCCTGAGAATAGACTGATAGATCAGCGTGGCAGCCTGGAGTTCAACAATTGACCCACATTTATATGGAAATTTATGCTCGACAAAGACAGCGTTTTAAATCAGTGGGCATTTGGGGGAAAGGGCTCCCTGGCCTCTGGGAGCACAGTCAGGACCTGGCTTTACTCCCAAATTACATGATTAGATGCGGAACTGATACAGATATGCCAGAAGCTCTTGTAACCGATGTTTCAAATTTGTAAAACTTCAATGTTTATTTCCTTCCATTCTAAAAGTAGGTTTCACCTCCCAAGAGAAGGCAGATATGGAGTAGAAGGCAAAAGCAGGGCTAATTCTGCTCTAGCAGGCGTGATCAGAGAACAAAGAAACAGTTTGGGGAGTTTTTCAATCCTGCCCACCGTTCTGCTCTGTTAAAGAAAGGCTGTTGCTTTTTCACAAAACTGAAAAAGAATAGAGTGTGTATATGTCCATGAATGACTGAAAAATTGTGCTGAACACTGGAATTTGACACAACATTGTAAAATGATTATAAATCAATAAAAAAAGTTAAAAAAAAAAAAAAGAAAAAGAATAAACACTAAGCAAGACTCACATCTCACTCTTTCCCAGGCTTTTATCTTTCCCTGAGAAGAGGCTGGGTCTGGCGGTGTGAATATTCCCTCAGACAGCTTACATAACCTTACTTATAGAGAAGCTCGGGGACGCAGAGTGCAAAATCAAAGGGAAGGACACAAAGCAACCTCACCGGTTTTGTGAGCTGAGAGCAGAAAGGAAACATTGATTATCTGTCTTACATATTTCCTGCACCTCGGAAGCGGCGGGAGTGAAATTGACATGGTACTCACTCAAGGGACCAGATTCCACCAGTTTCTTCAAAATAGTGTGCAAGTTTGCTTGACTCTCCATAGTAATTTTTTTTAATTGTGTTAGATTTGAAAGTAATCTAAATACATAAACATGAACTCATTCTGAACCATCGGATGACCACCTGAGTACTACCACAAAATTTCTGTGTTGGAGTTGGCTTTTGTGTTTGCAGTTTTGGCCTCCAGTAGAAAGGAAAAGACTAGAAAAAAAAAATGTAATTTGTTAGTGGAGGCCAAAGCCATCAAGATGCAGGCTGAACGAAAGTGTCACAGAGGTTAAATAAAGAACTGTATCGGGAACACAAAGTTCTCTCATCACGCACAGGAACACAGACTGCCAAACCTAAAAATCTGTGCTCTGGCATCCAGCACCACAGTCACAGAGTAAAGGGAGATTTTATTTCAGCAAAGTAACATCATCTCTCTCATTAGATTAATAGATTTAATTTGAATTATATTGCTTCTATAAATTCATAGTTGTGTGAGCATAAGGAATTTATACCTAGGTTTCTGTTTGCATGTAATTAAATAGCATTCCCATAAAAATAATTTAATTAAAAGTAAAAGTTAGAGCCCTGGGTACTAGTGTTTTTATTAGCCAGGAAACACACATCACATCTGATCCAAGCTAGCTGACCCCAGTGGTTCCTCCAGGCCCCAAAGTTTGTTGCATGTGGTCAGGCTGGAATAGAATCAAGGGCTCATGTGACTTGGCCTCCGTGTTTCTTCCTGAGACAAGACCCTCTAGGGTGTCCTCTGCAATTTCTAGCCAGTTGTTTTTTTTTTAATGTTTTAATTTACCTTTCATGAATAAGTCTCTTTCCTTAATGTTTACTTACTTGTGCATACTGAGCAAACAGGAGAATGTTTTGGAAGACTGGGGTTTGGGGTCCCCTCTGAGAAAAAGCCTTTAGTGGCAGCTAGCTTGTAGCTAGCACAAAACAATGTAGCCCTAGTGGGTGTTGAATGCTATCCCAGACAACTTGAGAAGACTTTGAAGTCATCCCAGCCTTTCTGTGGGCAAGACTAGTGCTGCATTGGAAATTGTGACCGCTCTTGTTGCAGGAAAAGGGTGCACAAGAGGAGGGCCATGTCCCACGTCTTGGTTGAGTCCCTGGGATGTGCCCACCAAGTAAGGGTCCTTGGCTTTGCACAGGAAAGAATTCAAGAGTGAGCCATAGTAGAGTGAAGGTAGATTTATTCATCGAGATGCACACTGCAGGCTGTCTCAGAAGGCAAGAGAGGCCACAAGGCATAAGGGTATTTAATTTCAGGTAAAAGTAGATACATACTCCATAGACAGCGTGGGCTATCTCTGAAGGTGGCAAAGAGTGAGAGAGGCCACAGGCTGTGGGGTTGTTAGCTTTTACGGGTTGGGTAACTTCACATGCTGCCAAGTGGGAAGATTATTCCAACTACTTTGGGGAGGTGGCTGGGATTCCCAGGAACTTGGGCCATCACCCACTATTTGACCTGTTATGGTCAACCTTGAAACTGTCCTGGCACCTTTGGAGGGCCGTTGAGCAGCTGTTGTATTACAGTGGGCATGTAATATAGCTCAAGGTCTACTGGGAGTCGAATCTTCCACCATCTTGGGTCTAGTTGGCTCTAACCAATTTATGTCATCTCCTCAATGGCTGTGCCATTCTTTTAATGATTGTGCTCTGTCCCCTTCCCTCC